GGGAGGGGGGGGGGGGCCGGCCGAACCGGGATCATCTATATATATATATATATATATATGTATGCCCAGGATGTTCCAAAGCGACAAAAAAGCCTAAGATGAGATAAGCATAATCGCACAAGCACGAGCAAACACACATAAGCACAACAAAGCATAAACAAAAACGTAAGCACACAACACTCTCTCTGTCTCTGCCGTTCTGCACGGTTATGCGTATGCTCTCTTGCTTATGTTTTTTGCACATGCTTCTTTGTGCTTATGTTTTCTTGCTTATGTTTTTTGGTGCTTGTGCCTTGTTGTTTATGACTTTTGGCTTATGCTTTGTTGTGCTGATGTTTTTTTTGTTTGCGCATTTTTGCTTACGCTTCTTCGCTTATGCCATTTGGTGCTGATGCATTTGTGCTTATGCTTTTTCGTGGTTATGTATGTTTGCTGATGCTTTGCGGTGCTTATTTTTTTTGGTGCCGGCTTCTTCGGCCAAGAGAAGGTCATAAGATCAATATTGTTACATATTTCTATAGGCAGATATTAATATTAATCGTGTTACTAACATTGTAGCATCCCCGCATGAAAGCGTGATGCCTTCTTGTTCAATCTCGGGAAGGTTCTTCATGAAATCCTCGCTTTCCGTAAGCCCGAATCCAAACTCGGGGTTGGGATTGCAGGCCCTCGGTGGTCTGAAGCTTTGGTGTCACGTGGTGTTTGCATCGGGTGAACATCTCAAGTTTGAGGGCCCTGAACCGTAAGTTTGAAGCCCCACCAACCAACGACACCTCTGAAATTGCAAGGTAGCCGAGCTGGGGGCCGTGCTCGTAGCTGGCTGGCGCGAAGCGAAGCCTTGTTAGGGCCCAAGGGTTCTGGAGCTTGTAGGAGACGAAGCGATGGCTCTTCAAAAGTGTTCAAGTTTGGTGTGTGGTAGGGTTCTGGTATGTTCTTGGGTTCACATGTGTGGCTGATGCTACGTTTTAGGCAGATTGTCTCCGGGCCGATGTTGCCTTCGGATAAGAATAGCCATTTACGTAGTTCCATGCTGCAGACATGGTGTTTGGTTTCATGAGCATATGGGCGTACGGCTTGAGTGCTTGAGCCACAATTTCTGTTGCACTGACATGCCACATCATGCGCCGAAAATGGGCCGAGGTGGTGCTGCAATAAAAGCAGCCATAACTGGAGACACAGGAGGCTTGCGCAAGGATTGCAAGCGTGGAGCACTCAGTTTTGCAGGCTGCATGGGTGCTGCCACTGGGAGACGCGTGTCAGTGTTGGCCTCTTTTGTGGCCCTATGCCCCGTCTCCGAGCCAAGACAATCTGCCAAGAGGTCTGCTATTGTTGTGGGTGGGCTTCGTTACGCACATCGACTGCAACATTGTTGTTGATCTTATGTGTCTTGTTTCCTGAGGCCCTGAAAAATGGGATCGCAAGCTTGCAGCTGACATAGTGCGTGCAATGATCATTCTCCCGGAGAACCCAAAGCATTCCAAGCGGGCTGCAGAGTCTTGGCTGGTACAAAAGCATTTGATAATTTTTTGTTTGGGGTTCTCGTAGTTTCGAATCGATTCGAGTCGAGTTGAGTCTATCACACTACACTTCTTATAATGCACTACACTGCTGTTTACCTTAAGTATACAGTATACCAATAGGTCACAGATTACACATACAATGATCCATTACGATCTATTTCGCCACGGTTGGACGTTCTGGAAAAACTAGGGTATAATTTGGCTCCTGACAGTGTTTTCGATTTTATGAGACGGACTTAACAGGATTCTGATGTGTTAGAGGATCTTGTAAGAAGCAACATGTCGTAGTATGTCACTCAGATACTGTCATTTTACAGTTTTTCCTGGTTATCTTCGTGTATTCTGTTGTCTTCTGTCTCCTCGCCTCCTTTTCTACCGCCTTCTGGTGCAATTTAGTGCTGGACGGGAGCCGTTGTGCCGGAAACTTTGCTTTCTCTTGCAGAGCATGGATGTTGCCCGAGGACTGGATCAGATCAGATGATTTCCTGAGCCAGATTTTGGAGTTCAGGGTAGTAGACACTTCAGCAGAGCTTCCTCATGTGCTTGCACAGTTGAGCGACACCAAAGCACGGCCTGTCGTCAGGCTGCGGTTTTAGCGAAGGCTTTCATCAACTTCGTCGTGTTGCATTCTTCAGCCACCGTAGCTGCTACCGGTAGGAAATTGAATAAGAGGAGATGGGGTGTAGTTCTCATTGGAACGCGCACTTCACCAGCAGCCCCGAAAAGACGCCGATGCTGTGTTTGGAGCATCTGCCCCTAAGTTTGCGGCTGGTCTGCCGTGATGCCTCGCTGACTTATGCGTGAAGCATCCGCCTTTTTCCTGAGCCGCTTGATAAATCTCCCGGGCAGAGAAGCACGCCACGGCATGCCGAATAAGGGTTTGCCATGGTTTGCCTAGGTTGGACATGCGGGTTGGCTCAGATTGGGCATCGTAGCGTCAAGACACTCACATGCTACTCGTGGCCGTGCAGCAGCTGATATTAGTTGGACTTCCGGAGCCAGGACTGTCGACTTAGAGGTTCAGACTAGAAATCCCAGAAGAAAGTGAACTCCTGGAAGTCCAAATGTCAAGATGTCCTAGATGCACTATATGCTATATAACAGTACAGTTTTGAGTTCAGGTCGTTGGATCGTTTAATCGAGCTGAGACCGTGCTTTTGTATAGACAGCCTGTGCCTTCCTGCTGCTATGCGATTCGTGTTGGTACATGATGCCACATTTGGTAGACTTGTTGCCGTGCAGAGACGAAGTTCGAATCATTTTGTACACGAGCGCAACTTGCAGGAGCTCAAGCAGAAGGTGGCTGTCTGTTCCATTTTTGTTCTGCTCTCCTCGGCCAATCACCACGCGTATGATGTGTGCTGAATCGCCGTCTAGCAAGTCAAGAAAGTGCTTGCAGAGAGTAGCCCCACCAGAATAGTGAACCCATGGATTGCCGCAGAAAGGTGGTAGTGAGCCTTTCCTCTGCTGCCAAAGCCAAACCTGGCTGTGGCCGATGGCTGACGCCATTGGTAAATATGCGCAGGCATGGGTCGTTCTGGTGGTGCGCAGCCGAAAAATGCCCGTGTGAGTTTCTGGCCTCTTGTAAATTTCAGGAATATTACAGCTTGATGCATCAAGATCCTGGATGGTGTGCCGCTACGGCAGTTTCAGTGCAGATCCAAGCGCAGGCTTTCCATTCGGGTAATTACGACTGGAGTTGACAAATCAGGTTGTGACAGGTGAACCTACAGACTGCAAAGGGTGTGCTTGCATGCTTGTGTGGTTGTGGGGAGCTGCGATTTTCTGGGACGCACAGATACCGTAAACCACTGCTGTGTACCACACACTTGCGGATATGCTTGCTTGATGCAATCGACGGTAACACACCACTCCCGCTCCGTGCTAAACATATCTGCATGACATGCAAACAAACTGCACGACAAGATTTCACACTCTGTATGTGTGTGTGTGTTATAGGCCATCGCAACTACGACGCTCTGTGCTGCGAATGCGCGGTCATAGGCTGCAGAATAGTACCATTCACTTTAGTAATCAGTCATCGTGGCGGGACTTCAGGTTGTCTACAGTGCTCATAAAGCTGCAGCTATGTGAAATGTGAGGACAAGCTGCTAGCGGACTTGAAGAGGCTGCAACGAAGTATTGTGAACTTGGCCGCGTACAGTGCCCTGCTGTCTTAGACTGTGCAAGATGTGGCACTAGGAGTTACCATACTCCAACAACGGCCATGTCTAGACTACTGCATGGTATACCATGGATATGTTTCCGGCCATCACACGTGAGGCGCCGAAGAGTCAGCGCTGTCAGCATTGCCCTTGGACACAGTGTTTGCTTCTGCCCCCTGGGAATCCTTGCAAACTTCATCTGCGATCATCAAAGCTGCAGATTCGGGAAGAGGCCGCAGTCGTGCTTTGAGGTTTAGATAGACGAAGTCCATGCCCTCACCTCCGAAGCAGGACACATTATAGTAGCCTATCTGAGAAGCCCACAGACAGCAAGTTCTTGGGCATTGCAGCCATCACTGATCAGATCATGCCGCGAGGAAGAGGAGGAGCAGGACGAGCTGGCGATTGATGGTGGCAGCACAAACGCGTGGCACTGGGCAGACTCCGATGCAGAGGCAAGAAGACGTGGGAATGGTTTGTGAAGACGCAGCTCTTCTCAGTACCTTGGAATTTGTGTCAGAATGCCTACGTAAAGCCGTATGCAATCTACTGCTACACGCAGTTACACACATAGGCGAGTGATGGCGAGTGTACACAACTTGCCATGTACCAGATTTTGGAACCTGATCGTACCCCGTCGTGCCTGAGAGCATCTCACAGCCTGTGTCCCTTGGTAACGATATATTCTCACCATATCTGTCGTTGCTTATGCGGTGTCTAGTTGTCGCTTGCATTCCTCCAGCATCGTATGGTATGTATGGTATTGCACAGGTAGTCCATGATCGGGTCAGGGTTTTCTAGTATCGTGGAGCATCTTATAGTAGCATCCGGATTGCTGGCACATAACAGCATACGGTAACGAGGTGCAACTCCGCGTTTCGCCATTTCTTTGGTGACTTAGAGTATCGTGTACGTCTTGCTGCATCTAGTAAATTTCATCCGCGCAGGTTGGTCCGTGTTTGAGAAACATTATGCAATTATGCATTTAGAGCATGTCAGAACCGGATATACCGCGCTGTTATTGCAGTTTTCAGAAAAAAGCACGTGGTGTAAGGGTTCCGACACACATTCCGAAGCCGTTGTCTGGAGGCAGCAATAGAGCTTGCGAAAGGTTGTGCAGGGTTGTGGGGGCTCCGATAGACCTCCTGAAAGATTCGTTTCGCGCCAAACTGCAATGTGGAATGTGAGGATGTATTTCGTTCACGCTGAAGGCAAACCCGGTTTTATTCTGCTGGCTGACTACCAACAGCCCGTTTCTTCACGCGCCCTCCCCCCCTGTTTATATTGATGAAAACCCAAACATTGTCGCTGGTTTGGGCTCCTTGTTTTTACAGTAGCTCGTGCGTTTTCCTTAAGTGTGTCAAGGAAGTTTGTAATTTGTTCGGTCGGTTTTTCCAGCATTTCAGCTGGGCTCCAAGTGAGTTCCCATGGCTTTTCAGCATTCATTTTTTTTGCGTGTCGAATATGTTTGCAGTGGGTTCCGTTGGTTTTCGCGGAATTGCAGGGCTCCGAGTGGGCTCCCTTGGTTTTTTCAGCTTTCAGGTGGGCTCCTGGTTTTACAGCACTTCAGTGGGCTCCGCGCGGGTTCCCTAGGTTTTCACAGCATTTGTTAAGGTGTATCAAGCAGGTTCGCAGTGGGTTCCGTTGTTTGTTGCAGCGTTTAAGCTGGGCTCCACATGGCCTCCTTTGGTGTTGGAAACAATTCGAATCGTACAGGGGTTGTTGGCGGCCTTCGCGTCGGGTAATGTCTGGTACGGGTAAGGTCTGGTAAATAAGCGACTTCTCTCCTTGTCTTGGAAGAACCCTGTTGCACAGTTTCTGCTTCATGTTCCAGATGAGTTCAATCTTCAATCCGTTTCGGGCGGCTGCAAATGCCGGCCCCGCTGAAAAGCAGTAGCTGCATCTGTCTGACTTTTTTGTATTCCACGCTCATGCAGCTGGGCAGAAGGCACCTAGCACATGGGAGTAGGTAGCTGAACATGGAAGATGCACAGATTTCAGTCTAGACCGGTCGGTTGTTGTCGACCACAACAAAACGTGTCATGTTTAGTTCAAACGAATAGGGCCAAGGCGGCTGAACATGGCGCAGCGAAGAATTTCACGATCAAGATGCACAACAGGATGTTGTCGAAGAAAAACATACACAGGAGAACATTGCAGACTTCAGGAGACTGTTGGATGGTGCAGGTGTAGGGGATCGCAAGAGAACATGCGAAAACGAACTCACAGCAGAATAAACCGCTTTGCAGCATTGTCCAGCATGCTTCCACCACAGTATATCATGCTCTCGTCAGGCAAAACGGTGTAGTTGACACTTCACGCATGTGTACAGCATTTCTGCATAGTGCGGTAAGTAGCGTGTTATGATATCATGTAGTCTAATGCAGTGTAGGGAATAGGAGTGGGCTTGAACCACTATCATCCGTTGCAGTGTCGTACAGTATGATGTGAGTTCAATGCAGCCGTGTTGGAAAGTGGTATACCATACTGTATACTGTCTATACTTTTGTAAAAGCAAAACGGAGCATAGCCAAATGCAGCAATATGTTGTGGTGCGGTGGAGGTTGATGCCGTTGATGTAGTTAGTTGGCATAGCATGAAAGATTATGGTTGGGCGTGACATATGTCGTATGATCCGCTACGCAGGTCTTGGTGTCTGCTCCTGTATTCTCTGATTGCATGTTCGGGTTCTGAAGAAATCGTACACTTACTGGTGCAGTGCGAAGTGCAATTGTGGCTGTTAGTTCTTTCCCAGAAGTTTCACCGCTGCAACCTGAGAGTTGCGGTGAACTGTAAGGAAGCATCTCTTGTGCAACTTGGGCACGCTTTCTTCTCCGTCAGTTGTGTGCAGGTACCAGACGAAGAGCTCCCAACTCCACCCAGGATTCCACAAAGGTTGAGACTTTCTGTGATCCTACTGGGCGACGACGGCAAGGCTATCGACAAGGCCACCAGCCTTGGCATCCTTGCCTGTGAGCTCAATGACAGCTTGCGCAGGAGATCGCCGGCTATCGCCCGCCTTCACCAAAATTGGATGAAGTGGCCGACTTCTTGTGGGATTTGGAAGTTGCCGACGAGGACTTGCAAACTTCGACGATGGGATGTTTAGCAGCCTCAACTATTTGGTCACTGGCACGCATTTTGCCTGGTGCCCGACTCTGCTTGCAACCAGGGATTTTAACAGGTATTCGTGTTCTGGGGAAGCCGTGAAATTACTGCTTTGATTTGTAGATTCGACCATGCTCTGCCAGCCAGTAGTCGCAGCCAGTTGTAGCAATCTCAAACAGCGATTTGAAGCAGCTGTTTGAAGCAGCTGCTGCAAAGAAAACGGTATTCGCCGCCCTCTCCACCCCTTCCCCTCGTTTCCCTGAAGTCCGAAGTGCCGACATGTCAAGTCCGAAGGCCGAAGTCCGAAATACCGAAAACTTAAG